GACCCCCTCTGAGTAGATAATTGAACACTGTTGTGTCCAATTATCTACTCAGAGGTTTCAGTTAAAATAAAACTCTTGAATCAGTATTCCCTTTCAATACTTATCAGGTGGCACTTTCAGTTGGCACTTTCAAGTATCCTTTCAACAACAATTTCAATAAGGCTATTGCTTTATATAGACCTGCGTCCTCCACAAAAGGTCCTTCTTTGTATATCTTTAAGTGCATATCTTTGACAGTGAATAATTTTATATATATATTTGTCTAACTTGACCCACATAAAGCCTTATTATCAGCATATTATTTTTTATCAAACTCTTCATCAAGGTTTTGAATCCATTCATAGGTCACAATTGACCAAGTCTCACCATCTACAGGTACTATGATCAAGGGCTCACATTGAACAAAACATAATAATTGATTTTGTTCAGAATAAGTTGTTCCACTTTCTCAAGTATTTCATCCAAGTAGCTTGGTTGGAATCAGTCTTGCTTTCTTGAGTGTGGACTACTATTCTATTCGACAGCAATTGAAAAGTCTCTACTTGTAATCTACGCATCCAGAGTTGATTTGGAGAAAGAAAATTTTGAAGGTATCAAAGTTCAAGAATAAAACAAAATCACTTACACAAAACATTGAACTTATCAACTTTGATATGTTAAAAAAAATTATTTTGATGGTATAGATGACAAACCTCGCCAAGAGTTCACCACTGGTACCTCCAAACGCGTAAATTTGAAAAACTAGAACCCACAGCAAATTCTAAAGCTGAACTAATAATGAGTTGATGTACAACACCTTCATAGACATAGAAAACCTACAACAAACAAATTATTGTCAAAATTTCTTTTGCAAAAAGATTTGATGTAAAGGATATCAAAGACAGTCAATATCTGAAGACAGTCAATGTCCTTAGGTTATGGAATCTTATCACTTTCAATTATATTCAATTCTTAGCCCTCAAGACACTTTGGTCAATTCAATTCTTACCTTCGTTCATTGATGAAGCCTGAGAAGATTCAATTCATAATGATATGGAATGTGGGATCAAAATCATTACGTAAGGATGAAACCAGTCATCTATTTAACAACTATTCGTCACTGTATCATCATATATAATATTCTCCTTCCAAACATGATCTCTCGATGTTCAATTTGAATAATAACGCCATAACAAACCATTTATAGCATCTTACAAAAAAACATGTTTGATCAACAAAGCGTTGTGATCAAACGCTTTGTTAATCATAACAGGATCTTTGTTGTACATAAATTATTGAATGGGTATGGGTTTATGTATGTAGGCTAGGCCAAGATGTACTTAGGTGACACGTACGTCATTGAAGATGTATCTGCCAGGTACATCTGTTTTCCACAACCAGGTTTCCAGTTTTCGTTTCCACCTTTCTTCCTTGACATATCAGATCCATCTGTGTTATTTCTTCTCCTCGTTATTTCACTTGATCTTCTTCATCTATCTCAAAATCAAAACTCGCTTTTTCTTCGTCATCTCTATCTCAAAATCAAAACTTGTCCTTGCTATCGCCCTGCATGCCTATCAACACTCGAAGCCGTAAATTAACCCCACCAGGAGCCATCAACCTTCGCGGAACCAAGCGGCGTAAGGCGTTGGAGGCTGAAAGAGATGCAAACACTACAAGAAATATAATATTTTCTGGGCAGAAAATTAAATTATTGATACACAAAAATATTGAGAGGCCAGGAGAAGGGCAAAAAATAAATAAAAATATGCATCTTGTTCCCTGCGGTGAGAGCTTCACTCTCCATATTTTTCCATATTTTTACAGTCCGTATTGATAAGTGTACTAACAATAAACCTTCATAATCATCCAATTACAACCTGTAACAAGCACTGAAATTTGGCTCATTAGTGTTTAGAGAAACTTTTGATTTCTGAAAACACCTATAACTTTGTCAAATCTGCCTCAAAACACTCGATTTTAAGTGCATTAGAAAGCTGGACTCTTCCTCTCGAACTTTCATAGGATCAAGAACTATGTAGCTAGTATGACAATCATTCTATGGATCTGTATGTACAAATGCATAAAAAAGATGATATCTTTTTTAGCAGACCAGCATGCTGTGTGGTCCTATTATGAGCCATTTGGAGGACAATTCCAGCTTACCAATGCACCCAAGATCAAGCGTTTTGGACCGGAATTGAAAAAGTTATGAGTATTTTCAGAAATCAAAAGTTTCTTCAAACACTAATGAGCCAAATTTCAGTGCTTGTTACAGGTTGTAATTGGATGATTGTGAAGGTTTATTGTTAGTACACTTATCAATATGGACTGTAAAAATACGGAAAAATATGCAGAGTGAAGTTCTCAACGCAGGGAACAAGATGCATATTTTTATTCATTTTTCGCTCTCGTCCTGGCCTCTCAATATTTTTGTGTATCAATAATTTAATTTTCTGCCCAGAAAATATTATCTTTCTTGTAGTGAAATGATATTCAACGTCGTAGGTCAGAAACTCAAACACAATCAAATGAAAATCGAATCAACAGCGAAACATCCAATCAGTGTGATAATCGATCTCAAGATTCACCTCCTGAAGCACTCGAACTAGATGAAATTGATGTGCACACCTATGGACCTCAGAAGAAATTCTGGCCGTTGCAAAGAATTGAGGAGCAATTGAAGTCGCAAACTGCTGATAACCGCTCGCAACCCAATCCGCTAATCCTGGCCGAAGCAAAAGCACTCCACGAATCATTTCAACACTCTCTACACATGCTAGCGATGATTGGCAAAGTTCACGTGGATACCCTGAAATCCCATCTGTAAGTACAAGTTTTTATTGATTAAATTCAAATTTTTCATTCTCTAGATTTTCATTACATCTCCTTCTTTTCTTTACATCTCAATGACTTCTTTATCATCTTCTTCATAGCGGAATCTCAGGTGCATCTCGGGCGGCGCATGCATAGAATCGATTCCTAGCTTTTTCGAAGCTAGCTTTTAAGAATCCGAGTAAGTCCATTCGCACCCTGATATTGAATGGAAATATGGTCTAAAGTAACTGACCACGAGTTGCATTTTCCCAGTGCCCGCACGGGGTGATCCTAACGCTAGTGAGATTCTGGCCGCGCGAAACAAAGCCAATCGCAATACCTACCACCGATTGAAGGACGACAAGCATGCAGTCTTCACTTCACGCATCTTTCACGCGTTGGGAGGCTATCCGGACTATTCAGCGATCGCTGTAGAAGACCATGAAGACGCCGTGGACTGTGAAGTCCTGATCCCCGAGGTTCCTAAGCTTTCACCTGAAGAAGACGCCCTGTATGGTCCTCTATACGACAAGCTAGTCGATCCGGCAAAGGTTGCAAAAGATCGTAAAAGATTTGAGGTTCCTTCATCTGAGAAGAAAGAAAAGCTCTCTCTTCGGACGTTCAAGAAGAGGCTTCAACAGGTATGTACTTCTTTCTTTTAAATCATCTACTGTTACATCAATTCATTTTCTCATTCTACTGTTCTGTTAGCTCCACCACGATGCTATCCTTGCCGACTTTGACTATTATGCAATAGGGTGTAGCAAGACCTTGGGCACTGGTTGGTGTCACGAATTCACTTCTTTACCCGAGATCAGCACCTGGATGGACGAGAAGATCAAGTTTCAGACGATCTTTCCAATCTACTCCCAAGCCAAACCCGAGATCAATGAAATTGATGCGACTGCCGCGGCGAGTAACAACACCAATAAAAACAAAGTCACTCGTCCTCCCAATAAGTGTGACCGCGAAAGTACTGAGCTCACGAGTTTGTTGCTTGCACAGATAAGTCAGTTGATCATGATCTGATTGATTCAACTTTGTAATATCAACTGACACAGCTTGTTTCTCCCTACAAGAGGCTTTCCCCGAGGTCCTGATGTGCCTGCTGTGTTCGAAAAAAATAAGGTTGGCATTGTTTTTCTCCGCCATGAAGATTCAGCGATGTCCACCCACGAGTTCATGCTAGGCTTTGATGGCATGAAAACGCGCTGGTCGACGAAAATGGCTTCAGGACATAAAAGATCAGAAGTTCCTTAATGGTAATGAGGGGGAACACCTGTTGCTGCGCCTTGGACCGTATTCAAAGCTGAGAATGAAAATGCTGTTGGAGGAACTGGTGGTGATGGTGGTGGCGTCGTTGGCCCAGGTAATGATGGTAATGGAGGTGATGGACGCGTTGGTGATGGTGGTAATGGTGGTGATGCTGTTGGAGGTGTTGGATCAGGCGGTGATGGGATTGGAGTTGGATCAGGTGGTAATGGTGAAGGAGTTGGATCAGGTGGTAATGGTGAAGGAGGTGTTGGATTAGGTGATAGTTGTGAAGGAGGTGGATCTGGTGGTAATGGTGAAGGAGGTGTTGGATTAGGTAATAGTTGTGTTCAGTTATAAATCTCCTGTAGTTCATTCTTTCTCTTCTTTCTTGAATATCTTATTGCAATATATGGAGCGTTGCGAGGGCTTTCAGAATGCATCTCAGATGAAATGAATCAATTGTCAAGTCAATCAGTGACGTATGAGTAGATGGATCAGATGCATCCAGATAGGCAAGTCAGATGCATCTGACTTGCCTAATCAGACGCATCTGATGATTACCCCGTAAAACTCACTTCATTTGTTTTTCTTTGCATTGATTGTATGACATGTATCAGTTCTCAATTCTTTATACAAATTTACTTACTAAGATAACAATTGATAATGTGAGACCTTCCCTTCGAAACAAACTAACCATACTAAAACTCAACAAACCATAGATAGATGAGCGAACATCATCTGTCACATGATTCTTCACTTGTTCAACACACTTCGTGATTGAACACAGTTTTTAATTCTTTCCCTCTGAATCTTAACACAAAGGAGCAGTCCAATTTGACCTCTCATACAAATTGAACTTCAGGTTATTTCATCTCCGATTTTCTGTCAAGCAAGCTCAATTTTCAAAATGCAATCAAATGATATGCTAAACCGTTTGCTTGATGACGATGATGATTGATATGGAAGTAGATTTTGCTAGACAACACACTTTAGCCTGGCTTAGAATGCTTCAAGATGAAGTGTTAGACGTTGAATTACCTTCACCACTTCACAATAAACAACGAAAACACAATAATCCAACATCTCAAAGTGAAGAAGAGGAGGAATTTGAAAGTTCCGATGAAGAAAGTTCAACTACAGAAGAAGAAGAATCAAGTCCAGGATACGAAAGTCCGTTAGAGTATTGCAACAGCAAAATCGAAGAATCCAATTCTTGAAAAAGACCTAGACTATTCAAAAGAACAACAATGATGACAAAAGAAGAAATCAAATCAATTACAAGTTCACTTATAGAATCCAATAAAAGGATTGGAGAAGCAGTTAAAGAAATGAACAAGATCAGAAAACGTAGATCAGAACTTTCTCAACTAGAACAAGATGGTAAATTCATGTTTACAGAGATTGATCAAACAGATCCTGATTTTGGTGAATATTCTATTGAACCTCGTTAGATAACTTATTTGGCGTCTACTTATCTGTTTGAATTGTGAAATTTCAATTCATTTGTTTGAAATCCTTTGGTGGTACATTTCAAATGCTTATTAAATCAATGTCTTCATTTGCCTCCAAACCCGTATGACCATCGCATCAATTTCTACTTGTAACTTCAAGTTTTGATATCAAGATTGTGTAAAGTCTCTATGTGGTTAGTGGGGAGCGTCGCTAGTAGAGATGCAGATGAATCTGTGTTGCATGGACACTGGCGTGATGATTACGATCGAGCCAGATACATCTGAAATTCGATGACTGGACTCGTGATGAGTAACGAGTCCAGTATACCCAGATGCATCGGGGTGTTGCATCTGGGCTTGTATTGTTGTTGAGTCGTGATGAGTAAAGGAGTCCAACATACCCAGATGCATCTGGGTTTGTATTGTGTGTAGCAACCAGATGTATCTGGTTGACTGTACCTTTGGTGTGTGGCAGAGATAGTCAGATGTGTCTGGGTTTTCAGGTACATATTCAGATTCATCTGATATTGTACTTGATATGTGGTGTACAGATGCAGATGCATCTGCCTATGAACATATGTATATGCTGCACTGAAACAGCAGAGTCAGATGCATCTGCTTTTCTTGTGCGCGTGAAGGCTGAAATATTCCAAATATTTCAACTAAACGTAAAACATCATTGTTGCAGACTTTGATGGCCCAAATTAGGGTGATTGATGATTTGAATGATGAAGAACAAGTTTCCAAAAGGAAGACTTGTGGATGTACCTTTAAGCTTCCCATCTGGCTCACCTGCAGGCATCTGCCCGGTATTTCCGGCACTTAGCCCAGCGTACAGCATATGTTTATGGTCTGCTAAGTACCGAAGCATCTGTACTCCTCAGGTGACATCAAAGGAGAGATTTCTTTACGTGTGATAAGACTACAAGTCTTCATTGGAATAACAATCAAAGTGATTGTTGCTTTGCTAGTAATTAAAATTGTGTTTTATTGTGTTCAAATTGGAATAACACTACAATAGTGTTGAGATTTCTTTATAATTAAAAATCACGGGAATAATACTTGAATTAAGTATTGAGACAACTTTCTCTGGTGCCTTATCCCAAAGAATTCAGCAAAACCCCGTGTTGATTCTTTCAAAGAGGCAGTCTTAGGCAACTTCTACTAGATACTTTATTAGTAGATTATCCCTCTTTAAGCTCTGTAAAGCTCTTGTTGAGCTTTAAGTTCTACAGCGTCCGCCGGGCCACCAAAACTTCTGCAACCGGCTACTCCGCCAAAAGACACTCTGGTATCTAAAATGATTCTACCCTCTGCAGTCCTCAACATTGAATAGCACCATTGGTTGGGGTTTGTTGGGATCTGCTGGTAGGCTTTTTCCCAATCAAATATCCCTGATTTGAGAATTCCTCCTTCCTTGCTAAGAAAGGTTGCAAATGTTTTAAAATCGTCCCAACTAGTCTTAAAATCTTCCTTGTCCACCAGCGAGTTCACTGATGTTAGGTCTTTCTCTCTTTTCGGGTATGACAGGTCGTTGATGGCTCTTGCCAAAAAAACTTGTAAAATGTATCCGTGTTTTTCCATCAGGTTCAGGTCCCTTAAAACTTTCTCCCACATCTTTAAGTTCATCTCACAGTTCACGCTTGTTGGCCACTTCCTGTTCATCTTGTATCCCTTTTCCGGTAAGCTCTCTGATAGTACTGGTACCGGTTTAGAGTAAATTTTCAGATCTGGATGGCATGTTACGCCTAGCCCTGGTTGCTCTGTCAAACTGCACTCTGTCTGCTCTTCTCAAGCTCCTATTACCTCCCTTTGGCAACCTTGTTGCTCCGTGGGGTCAGACACGTTTTGGGTGATGGCACATTGTACTCTTGGTTCCCTCGCGCGCTCAGTGCTAAAGGCGGCCCTACATGGGCTAAATCATTTCGGATCATGGTATGTCATTTCACTAGTCTCTTTCCTCATAACAACATATCATGGTCCAAGAGAAAACAAGGGGGGGCAGGCTACTGGGTCCTCTTGGTTTTTTGGCTCTTCACACTTACTGCTTGCTTTGTTTGTCTGCGTTTTTGCTCTTGTTTCCTGTCACTTTCCCCTTCGCATTCCAGGCTCCAACTCCCTTCCCTTTCCCGCTGGCTCCGTTCTCAAAGACTTGGATTGGATCGGTCCTGTGCCCTGAATTCCAGAAACCCTTTGCCCTCTTTGCATTGTAGTTCAGGATCCAGTTGTTACCTTGGTATCCCACCAATTTACCCGCACTGTAGGACGAGCTTGCTCCGGCTTCAGATAGAAACGGACTATGTCAATTCTTTGCCTGTCTCTGGATTCGGCTCGTGCCACACTTACTTTTGCTGGTGCTGTTGGCATGCGCAAAATTCCTTTTGGCCCCGGACTTTGTCAGACCGGTTACTGGGTTGAAATTTTCCTTGCCTCCGCCTGCTACGTAAGGATTTTCTTGGAACTTTTGCTCTCTGTTGTTGTCCGCTTCTTCCTTCGCCTCTCTTAGGATATCTCTGTGCAGGTAGCCTGTGTCAATGATAACTCTTTTGCCTTTGACCTTCTTCACCACCATTACTACCAGACGTACTTTCATACAGTACCTGAGAGCCACCATCCAGCACTTTGTTGACCTTTTTATGCTCACAATGTTCTCTTTATGCTGTCTAAACATTTTCGCTGCTCAGATCTGTTGTACTCCGTTTCCAGGTATCTTATGAAGAGATCCATGGCGTCTGTCCAGAAACCATATGTCATCAACAGTTCCTCCGGAGGTGTTGAGCCTGAAAAGGTGGCTGTTGTAATGTCCTCCTGGAGTTCCTTGATGGTCTTCATTTTCTTCTTTCCGACTTGGCAATGGTCTTTCTCAATCCATGCTGGGTCGAATACCGTCAACTGAACGTAAGCTTTGAGTGTCCTCATTTTCGTGTCAAATTATGGGGTTAATGGGAGGAGTATATTCCCTTTGATTGGTTTTCCTATCATGTAGGTTATCCTGTCTTTGGTTCCTGCTCTTGCCTCACTCATTCATCAGCACGTTTCGTCTCTTCATATTGAGTCTGTCCGACTCTCACCTGAGTCTTCTCCCTTTCTGCTCTCTTTTGCCTTTGTTGTTGGCTTCTCCTTCTTCAAGACCATCTTCTCTGACTTCTCCTCTTCTGCTTTCCTCACAGGTCTAGCTTCTGTCTTGCTCTTGCTTTTGCTTTTGCTATTGCTTCCGGCGACCAAAGACTTGGTTCTTGGCCGCCGATTTTCTTGTTGCGGCTCCTCACGGACAACGTTGTGTATGCCCTCCGCGACATTTATTGGGTTGTTGGTGACTCTGTCTCTGTCATCTTGCGTCGGGTGATCACCTCCGTAGACTGCATTGAACACTCTTAGCATTTTGTCTGATCTTTGAGCATCACCGAAATAATATTCGTTTTTGGTTCTCCACATCCACTTGGATTTCCTGGACTGCTCGTTTTCGTCTGAATAATTTTTTGTGTAATGGAGCATTTTGTTTATTAGCCAGCTGTTCTTAAACACGTCCCCCTGTGTTTTCCACTTCTTTCCCTCTCTCTTTAACAGATTGGGGCATTGGGTTACTGGTCATAAACTTTGTTTGTTTTGATCATATGTATACTTGATCTTTCCCTTCAGGGTATTATTTTGGATTTGCGACTTATTGTCTCTTTTTTCTTTCCCGTTTGGTCGCGGTATAGCCCACGCCGGCCTCAGTTTTTTCTTGTGACTGGTGCACTTCCGTTTTGTTTGATTTCCTCTCCCTGCTTGAGAAACTGCTGGGGGTCCTTGGATCTCTTTCTTGGTATATTGTAGAGAACAGAAAGGGGAATACAAGAGGAAAATTTGTGGGAATGATGTGTGGATTGTTGTTTCCTTTATGGATTGTACGGGCTTTGTAAAGGCCTTTCTTTTCACAGTTGGGAAGGGGGGGAGACTTGAAATAATGGAAATGAAAAAGGAGGGCTTCACTATTTGTATCTGTACTCACCATTATCAGATGCACTTCCTTCTCTTTCCTCCTTTCTCTTTGTAACACCGCTGTCCTTCATCTCTCCACCTCCCAACGCTACATTCCCTTGGTCTTGATCAACATTTACGTTTGAGGTTGATGCTTCTGCTGTGACCAAAGTTGATGTGCCCTGAGTTTTACCTTGGCTCTCCTCTGTCTCATGGTTTTCTTGTTGCTGTCTGTCTCCGCCATTGACCTCGGTAGTCCTCGTTTGGCTTCTTGTTCCTGTTTTTTGTGACTGCTTCGGTTTCTTTGTAATTTCAATTTTGGTTCCCGCTGCTGTAATCTTGCTTTTTGTTGATTCCATCTCCTCATTGAATGATGCCATTGTTATTCTGAACTCTAACCTTCTTTGAATTAATCAACTGAATAATAAAAAACTCAGTGAGTTGTGTATATAAAAAGTTTGAATGTCTTGGGATCTTCAAAAGGTACTTTGGGATTGGTGCGGAGACTGAAAATTCTCTGTCAGGTGAATTTCTCAGACCAGAAGTGTACTTTGTACAGTTGTACAGTTTCCTCACCACTTAGAACCTTTTGGTCATGGACCTACATCTTAAGTCGTACCTTGGTTAAGATAACCAATCAAACAACTACCCAGTGCATTCACAACAAGTCTTGAGATAAGACACGTCATAGTCTTTGATGATTAAGACATCAATCAAAGCACATTTTCATGATATTCTTGACAACCACTTTCTCATCAAATCTACCCTCAACTCAAATTGTGAATGATTAAATTTATCTTATCATCATTTCAACAAGATATCTTTTTTACAACACAAAAAGATAGTCATTGACTCTCTTCAATTTTGAAAATCAAGTAAGCCGCACTTGAATGCAATCATTAATACCAATGTGAATAGGAACAGATAAAAAAATCACTGTTAAAAGATAGAATAGGCAAGTTGAAGAAGTTAATTGTTGAACTATGATTGATTGTTAAATTTTGATCAATTGCTCAAATTTGCTCAATTGTTGGGTTTTGATCAATTGTTTGATTTGATCAATTGTCCAACTTAAGTCTTCAACTCTGATTTGACACAGCTGTTCTTCTTGAAGTGATTTATTAAAAGAGAGATGAGATGGATCAATAGCAAGATCAATTTTCAAGTTAGCAACAAAGTAACCACGTATGAGATGAGTGAGAGAGAAACTGACACAAGCAGTTAGCTAAATAGCTTCTCCAGAGATCAGTGAGAGTCAGACAATCAAGTCAATTCCTTGAAGTGTTGTATGGTAATGGCAGTGGAAGTTTGTTATCTGTAGATTGAACACATAGCCCAAGACCTGCCGGGCTAAGGGGCATTTGTGGAAAGACACAAGTGAGGTGATGGGGGTGGGATGGGTTCATTGTGGGGCTCTCAAAGCTATCAAGAAAGGTCCAGAAGTTGTTGGCGAGTATTGAAATCATGATGTGATGTTTATTGGTTATTTGATTTTGTTATTTCAAATTTATTATTTGATATGTTGTTATGGATGATTTCTAGTGTGATGTACACGCAAGTTTCTTAACTCTCTCATTACTATTGTTGTTTCTTCTTTCTCTTATAAAAACCTACCTATGAGTTCACTAGAGTTTGTTCTTCATCTTGTCAAACTCTTTTTCTCTTACACTTACCAAGCACCTTCTTACTTACGACGTATCTGCTTGTCGTGTATTGACTCATAGAAGTGACATCCAAAAACATTTGGGAGGTGTCCCAGAAGTTTCTGGATGTCACTTCTGGACACTTCTGGGGCACAAAACATGAATTTTGAATACCACTATTGGAATAACATTGATTTTTGCCTTGTTTTGGTCAATAAAATTGTGCTTTTGAGATCCTTTTGGAATAACCCTATAGGAGTGTCAAACTTTTTCTCTTTATAATTCATGGGTATAATAATTGAATTAAGTGTTGATGTTTATTTCTTTGATGCTTTATCTTAAAGAAGTCAGCAAATCCTTTTCTGATTCTTTCAAAGAGGCAGTCTTCAGGCAAGATTAGATTATCCCTCGTTACACTGTTCCTTGTATATAAGCGTGCATAATAAACCCCGGCACGATGGGACTTAGTCAAGTGTGCGTACATATGTAGCCTTGAGTGCCTTAAATGACATCGCAATTGCACTTGAAAAAACAATCCAGTGAATATCCATATCCAATTCGGTGGGCAGTCGATCTGGGGCAGTCCTCTGGTGAGAAGATATGAGTGAAATCTCACGTGATCTTTTTAGAATTTCTCAACTGTTTCAAATCGATGATGTCATTTGAGCTGACTTGAAAATCGGTGCATATATTCTTGGTAAACCGGGTTTGAATTTAATTTTGAACCGCGGTGATAGAACTCATTGGTGTTCATGTGAGTCAGATTAACCAAATCATTCAATTCAAATGTCCTCATCTGGCCATGACCAGGATCCGAAATGGCTCAAAAGCCGGTATACAAAAGTTGAGATGATCGCATTTGAGTCAACTTCTGGATGGAGTCTTGAAAGTCTAAGATCTAAATCGATTATCTTGAAATTTGCGGTGTGTTGTGTCGTTAGTCTAGTTTCAAATCAAATCACAGTGAAGGATGATAGATATGAGACTGAATTGGTGAGATCGATTGAAGCTTTGAATTGATATCTTGCTTTTTTGGTTCTGAGTATCTCCATCTTTCAAGTCACATCGATTTCTGAATTTGAATTCCATCAAAACACACCGACACTGGAATCCTGGATGGCGACTTAAAAGTCAGTGGTAAACAGCCAGCCATTCTGATAACTTCCAAGTTTAATTAAAAAGATATCATCTGTACCTGTTTGTACCCTTCTCAAGCTCAAAGGAAGCTGATAGAAGGTGATTCTTTCTTTAACTCAACTTTGATCGATTCTTTCACCATCCTTGTCTCAGAATCAAAACTACCCTGTAAGACCCTGCATCTCAATCTTAAAGATACTCAATCCGGTAATTCACAATTCTAAGAAAATCTGATCCGGTCTTAACCAAATAAGGATGAACTCTGATTTTAATGCAGCTCAGGATTCTGAAGTTTATAGTGAAGGAGTTTGGAGAGAAGCTTCACCAATCTCTTATTCCGCTATTCCTTTATCATCACCTCCAACCAAGAATAACATCATCCCAATGAATCGACACGAAAGAATCCAAACCAATGAAGACTCTAATCATTCTGAAGATCCAGGTTCACCTTCTTCAATCCAACCACTTAATGAATTCCATCATCGATCTAAATCACCTTCTACCATCACCACTCAAAATCGATATGATCCTCAAAAACATGAAGAAGAATCAGTGATCAAAGAAACTTCAAATCGAGCGAAATCATCGGATTCTCCCTCTTCTTCTAATTCTCAAACTTCTACTCCTGATGGTACATTTGATCATATCCTCTCTGCCAAAGTCAGTAATTGGGATCAGTTAACACTTTATGAACGTAAGGCCAGTTTGATAGATTATGAACTTGATTTACTGGGGATGGGAAGATATCAATGGTCCATCTTCTGTGTACGTTCTTTTTCCTTAGAATCAATCTTCACTTCTTCCAATTTCCCGTTCTTCTAAATTACCTACGACATCGCAATCAAAGTTGTTAGTCAGCGACCAGAGCCGATTGAATTACAAAGACAAGTGAAAGTGTTAGGTCAAATGTAACATATTCACCAAATACAATTCACAAATCACTTCTTCTTATCATTTCCATCACACATTACAATTCTCTGAAAATCGTATTCAAAGTTTTCCATCTTGTGTTGATTCTCGAAGATACTAACTATTCTTGAACCTTATCGCTTCATCGTCTTCTATCATTCAGTTATGTGGTTTCGGTTTCTTTTTAGACCTGATGTGGGCACATGGGTTTTCAATCATTGCAGCTTCATTACAACAAGAATTCGGTTTGAAAGATAGTCAAGTTACCAATTTGTTTACTTCCTTTGCTGTCGGCTTAACATTTGGAGCATTCTTTTGGGGTTTATTGGTGGATATGATTGGTCGGAAGTGGTGTTTCAATTTAACTTGTCTTATCTCTTCTGGTTTTGGTTTGATACTACCTGTCTTTGGTAATTTCGACCTTATTGTGTTTTTTACGGCTTTGATTGGTACTGGTGTGGGTGGAAATATACCTGTAGATGCTACTATTACTCTTGAGTAAGTTCTTTCCTCTACCTTTTCTTGTTAATTGGTAGTAACTCATCATTCGGATTTCTCAATCATAGATTCTTACCTACTAATCGAAGATCGTTATTAGCTACACTTTCAGTCTTTCAACCTGTAGGAGTAGTAGTAGCTAGTGTATTGGGATTAGCTTTTATTCCTCAATTCTCTTGTTCAGAAAAACTGAAAAGTTGTGCATTAGATGCAACAGTTGATTGTTGTCATCGTTCAATTAATTATGGTTGGAGATATTTAATGTGGACGATTGGTGGGATCACAATGATTGTCTTCTTAGGTCGAATTTTACTTTTTACTTTTCAAGAAAGTCCAAAGTTTTTGATTTCTAAGGGTTTGTGATTATTCTTCTGATTCAATTCTATATTAGTCAAAGAGAAATTCTAATTATAGTTTTTGATTTTTCAGGAAAAGATCAAGAAGCATTAAGAGTTCTTTATTCGATTGCAGCTTTCAATAAACAACCAGTACCTGCATTAACTTTGAAAGATTTTCAACATTTAGAAACTCAATCTTATGCTTTTATACCTGAACCTAAAACAGGTTGGATCCATAAGGCTGATCATTTAAAAGGTTTATTCAAGAATCGAATCGTTGGGATCACTACTACATTACTTTGCCTTGCCTTTATGGCAGACTTTTGGGTTAGCTTTTTTCCCCTTCTTCTTCTGCTATGTCTTGAAGAATCCAAAATAGATTGTTAATCGATTTGATCACTCTTTGTAGGCATTTTCGATCGCTGGTCAATTCTTACCACTTGTCTTGGCAAAGAAAGGAGCTTCGCATAACTTATCTCGTGAAAAGACCTACATAGTAAGCAAATCATTCTTCTTATCATCAATTGATTCACTCATGTTTTCACATTGATATTTCTGTAGAATTACATTATCATTTACTCGGTTGGAATCCCAGCAGCTCTCTGTGCAAGTGTTTTAATTGATATACCAAATGTAGGAAGGAAATGGGGAATGGTCCTTTCAGCTTTTGGAATGGGAATTTCATTATGTTTATATGCGATTGTAGATGATTTGACTACTGAAGTGGCTATGAACGCATTAGAATATTTTTGTGAGTGTTTTTCCTTCTTTCCATCCTTTTCCCGATAAACTCAAAGATCATTTGACTGATTTCTTTTCCATTTTTGCTTCTCCTTTGGAATTTTTAGTCCAAACTTTGTTAAATGCTATCCTTTATGCTTTTACACCTGAAGCATTTCCAGGCCCAAGTAAATACTTCATTTGATCTAGATCATTTCATCATATAAACTGACGGGGTTTCTTTTTGTTTTGATAGTACGAGGATCAGCGTGTGGATTAACTTCAACTTTAGGAAGATTATCATCAATTATAGCACCAATTGCAGTCAGTTCAGTAATAGATCGATCAACCAATACTGTACTTTATTTAGCTGGTGGAGGTGCTATTGTGGCTGGTTTAGCTTTGGCTGGTTTACCTTTTGAAACTAGAGGTCGATCTGTTTTTTGATTTTTTTTGATATTTTGGCGTGGAGGGGATATATTTGTATGCTTTAATCATGGTTGGAAGGGTGATGTGGATGACGCGCAAAAAAAACGGGATTTGTTTGGTTTTGTCTGTGATTATTTATTAATTGTATATTACGTATTCTTTAGGAGGTTGCAAATGGGCTGGGTTTTGGATTGGTTTGAATCATGTATTATTAATGATTTGTTTGAAAGATGATCTATGGTTAGATATATTCTTTATTTATACATCTTTTTTTATCTATTGAGAAGAGAGAAAAACCTTTTTGATATTCAGGAAAGGTTTAATCGGTTTTTGGAATTTCCAATTTCATGATGTTTGAGATCACGATTCAAAAGAACTAAATACATGAGAATTTGATGAGTCTGGTTCAAATCGAAATGAGTTTCATGATTTACATGTTTGTTCTGACTATTTACAATTTGATAGAAAGATTTCTCTACATAAAATTTTATAAAGAAAAGGATGACTAAACTTTGCACAGAAGAAAAAAGAAAGTAGGCTTCTTAAGAAAAGATTACAAAACTTAAACTTAAACTTGATAAAAGTAAAGTTAAAGAAATTGAACCTACATAAGAGAAATCCCAAGAAATGAGATTTTCTTCAATCTAAAGCTTTCGGTTATTGATTATTTATGAAACAAAAAAATACTTACTTTGAGATGAACCAGAATTAACATCATATTTCTCAGTTCCACTCTTTTTGAAATTAGTTTGATTTGATTGATTTTGAAGTGTTGTATTGGTTTTATCATCACTTGGATCTGATAAAGTACCTATGTAATAAGAAAACGCAAAGTAAAAAAAGATAAGAATTATAAGAATTTGTTTTTAAAAATTGAACGATCACTTACTGTTAGTGGTTGAAGTGTCTTCTTTATCAGTGTCAGTGTTGGGATCAGAATCGGTAGAATTAGAAGGTTCTAAGACGTAAGCAAACAAGTTCAGTTTATAAACAATTTTTAATATAGATTGTAAAGTTTTTCAACTCACCAGATTTGGATGATTTATTGTCGGGGGATTTATTGTCAGATGATTTATTGTCGGATGATTTATTGTCGGATGATTTATTGTCAGATGATTTATTGTTGGATGATTTAGTGTTGGATGAAGTTTCGTTCTTTTTGTTTCCAGACTTGTCTGTCTTACTATCTGAGCTTTCTGTAGTCGAATTCTTTGCAGGTGTAGAAGTCGCAGTAGAAACCGATGGGACTGGAGACTGAGTCACAGCTGTAGGAACATTAATCACTATCACCTTTGGATTTTCGTTTCCGTTTTCATTCTTCATTTTCGATGGGATCGGATTAACGGTCTCATTAGAAGTTTTCTTTATTGTTGATGGGATCGGATCAACGGTCTTATTAGAAGTTTTCTTTGGTGTTGTGTAATCATCTGTTTTCTTTTCATCTGTTTCTTTAGGCTAATTTTAAAAAAAGTCAATGTTTGAAGTTTTCTTCCATGATTGGGTAAAGGGAAAGATTTCTTACGGTGGAACTTGAGTTGTTGGTATAGTTTGAACATGTAGATAAGAATTGTGATGATTTTGAAAATTCATCGTGATCACAATGCTACAAAATACAAATCAGAAGATTTCTTAGTCTTGTATTGAAAGCGATATACCGATGATGTTGGTTATTTGAAAGTCTTCTCACCTTGTGAACTTTTCCAGGTTGAAAATAAAATAAATGGTTTTCGTCATGATGATATTGATCAGTTTGTGTGTTTTATGTATTGCAAAAGTGTATGAAGAAATAGAAATACTTACAACAATCAGATATCATAGATTCGAATTTTGAATTTGAACAAAGACAAGCAAAATCAGTGGTAGCTGAAAACAACAATCAGAAGAAATTAGTATTAGCATTTCACTTGTTTTTCTATCCAACCAGGGGGAAAAAAACTCACCGCTGCAATTTGTTACAGAAACCTCTTGATTTAAACATGTACGAGCGCAACTAGGAAGGTTCTACAACAAAACAAGTTTTAATTCTTAGTTTCCATTGATGAGCTTTCATTCTTGGTTTGATTAGTAAAACTGATGATTTACTCCTATTCCGACTCCAGCTTGTTGTGAGAAACGAAAAGTTAAGATGATGAATAAGAATGAAGATAGGTTACGAGTGCTCATTGATTGAGACATGATGATTGTAAAATATATGTAGAATCAAAAATCACACAGTGATCAGAATTCAAAAATCGAAGTGAGTGTATTGAGCTTAAAGAAAGGTAAAAGGATAATTTCAGGAAAGGTAGCTTTGCACACGAGAGGTAGGAGGTAAGGAAAATCGGATTGAAGTGATCGTAGGGTGAAAGGGAATATCAGAAGAGTCTAACTCTCGAGGCTTTATAAATTCTTTACCATGAGGTTGGGAATGATACCTCGGAGGGTTTAAGAGGACATCGCATCGCTCATCTCTCAGGATATAAGCTGATGTGCTCGCTATACATACGTGCTCTCTTTACCAATTGACGATTTGATGGACTCTATGTCTTGGAAGTGATCAGTAAGGAATGATTTAAATGATCTGCTTTTGTTGTACGGAGGATCTCGGGTTATTTATACAAATCTTTTGAAAAGCTCCTTCTGGCTTTGAGTTACAGTCAAACCAGAAAAGCTTGTCACAAATTCCCCGCCAAATTGCTCGAGTTTTGCGGGCAAAATTGGTCAAGCTTTTCCGATTTGACTGTAAAGCTGATTAGATATTTTTGTTTGACGATCATTGAGTATCTCAGAAAGGCTCAGATCTGTTAGAGCGCAAGCTCAGCATCTGGGATCCAACCACGAACAAGGATAGATTACGCATACCTGTTAGAGCGCAAGCTCAGCATCTGGGATCCAACCACGAACAAGGATGTGGAAGGAGCCGGGAGCTGGAGCTAGACAGGTTATATACAAAGCTGGACTAGGTCTACTGTGCCGCAGTCGTGTACATACGCTGGGCAGACCTCGGGCCATAACACTCCCCCCCACGACAAGGCACAGTACCCCATAGAAACAGAAACAGAGAGAGAAGTAAAAACAAAAAAAAAAAAATCATCACATATATGTGGAAAAGTCAAGATAAGATAACAAAAATAAAAGATCATCGCCGAGTCAAACAAAATGCGGAAAAGAAACTTGGAATACTAGAGAAATTCTCCCCCCTTCACATAATCAATAAGCACCATGTGGTAAATCTGCTTCCAAAATAAAACAAGAACAGAAAATATAAGAGAAAAGATATCAATACTCAAGCACATCAAGATAATCAAATATCTTTCCATCTTTTGTACGTCTAAACATGAATTCACCCTCATGTGAATAACAAATCACATCTTGATTTTGAATATGTTGACCATATTCCTTCCCAAAAAGGATACCCTGCTCATCTACTTGAAGGAGGTCGTACATATGATGACAAAAGAGAAGTTGATGAACAAGACCAAGAAGGTGGTCATAATTGGTTTCACTCGGTGTATGCATGTCTTGTTGCAGTGAAGGAGAATGATTTGAAGAATGATGATGATCTTCAATCCATCCATTTGGAGCGTAAAAGCCAAAGTTGTCAGTGACATCATATTTGCGGCAGTGTTGTTCAGATGAATTATTATCAGTACTATGTCTCTTCTTCTTGTTCTTCTTTTTCTTCTTCTTCTTGTTCATCAAAGGCGAAGGTATGTCGGTTGAGGATGCGACAGGGTGAGCAATATGATAAGGCTGTGGTGATGAGAGCATATCCAAATTTGATCCAAGGTGAATATCAGAGATAAAAACTTGCAGAGGGTGATTGGTTTCTGATTGTATTGAGACAAGATCATCAAGAACGGGATCGGTTGTAGCATCAGGGTCTGGGTGAACGTCAGCAGCGTGTCCGTGATTTCCCGCTTTAGTATCACCGAGATCAACTGATCGATCAACAGCAAACATAGGGACAGATTTCATCAGGCTTGCAACCGGTAGTCGTAATTGGTCATTTAGAGCTACAATTTTGGTTGTATCGAGTTCTTGATCAACATCATCCGCAAGTCCTTTCTCTACATTGAGCACTAAATCCACAGTTCGGTTTTGATCGATGTCAGTGATGGTGTCTTGATTGATATCACCAGTAGTTAGACAACCAACAGCAGAGTATAACGCGTGATCATTCGCAGCGCTCAATATTAGATCCTCAATGACAGGATTCACATTTGGAACTATCGCCAGTTCAATCGCGTTCAGGATCGGGTCGATCTTGGTGGCAGACGCTAGATTCGAAGGGACACGCGGTGGTGAAACAACAGCAGTGTGTTCTAGATTTTCAGCGGTGGCAGGTATCAAGAGTGCTGCAGCGACGTCGTCGGTAGTAGTGAAATCATCGCCGCGTTTAGAACCGTCATGAATCGTACGTCCTAGACCAACATCATCAGTAGACTCATTGACAAAAGGAGCCAATGTTAGATCGATTGGAGTGGTGATAGCTGACGAATCGACAGTGGTGTCAGGTGCTGGGCCAACTGTTAAAATCGCAGGAGCTGGACCGACGGTGGTGGGAACAAGCAAGTCAATAGCAGCATTAGGGATATCTATGGCTGTTAATGATATACTAGCACTCAATACTTCGGTTTCTGAGGCCGATACAGGCAATCTTGAGTCATTCGAGATGATTGCATTGAGGTCTATAAGCAAATCACGAGTATTTTTGATATTATGAGAGTCAGCCGGTGGAAATGGCTGTTGCGCAGCTCGTTTGGGTCTTGAGTTGAGAACAGGTTGCTGGTCGATTGGACATTCGACTCGGATCAGGTCAACCGCGGTGCTTGCGGAAGTCATTGATCGAGATTTGATGCTGTTCTGTGATAATGGTTCATCAGATTGATGATTTGATAAAGCATATTGGACTAGTTTATTTGGCCCTGCTTGCGTGCGTGATTGAGTGGTACAAGGAGGTATAGAGCTTGATCTCGGCATTTTTGAGGTATGTCGCGTTGAGTCGAATGGTGGAGCTGAGACCGGCCGCAGTGGGGCATTTGTGATCAATGTAGCAATTGAAGCCGAGGGTGTAACACCTGAAGCTGGAAGGTGAGTGATGGGATCAGGAGGCGTGAGGTTTTGTAATCGCCAAGCTGTTGAGCGAGTTGTTGGCTTCCGGCGGCGAGCAAAGTGTTGTGGGGTAGGCTTGGAGAAGCATGAATGATGTGCGTGGAAATGGAGATGCGGAGCAAATTGAGATGTTAAGAGCTGGATGTTGGAAGAAAATGTGGCGAGTCGATGGAGAGCTTGCAGAAGGGCAGGTGGCAGTGTCTGGGTATTCGGGGTAGATAGAGGAAATGTGGTGGTGGGAAGTTGATAAGGAAGTTGATAAGTCATCTTTGGAATTAATAAAACAAATCTTCAAAAGGTATTGAGTGGTGATAAATCAAACTGGTAGTCCTCAGCTTAACACGCTGGCATCAAGAGGTTGGAACTAAAACTAAAGGTAGGAGCGGATTATAGTAATATAAACTTCATCAACCGATAAACTGTTTGATCAATAAATCTTGATATAACTTTGGACGCTTGAAATAGCTATCAAATGGCGATCTTGTATTTGTAAATCAACAGTAAAACCTTTAAAAACACTATATCTTCTTCTTATTTTGTAAAAAAATGAAACTTCGATAACACTCAATCTTCTGAATCTTTTAAAACTGGTAAACTTCTGTTTGTTATGAAACTGAGCCGATGTTGTTGTCGGAATCTTTATTTCTGCTCGGTGATGGATTAGAACACCTGGTACGTATCGATCGCTCAAAAAATTTCAACCAAAATCTTTGACATCCACAGCTGGTATCACCGACTGGGACTCATAACCTGTTAGAGCGCAAGCTCAGCATCTGGGATCCAACCACGAACAAGGATAGATTACGCATACCTGTTAGAGCGCAAGCTCAGCATCTGGGATCCAACCACGAACAAGGATAGATTACGCATACCTGTTAGAGCGCAAGCTCAGCATCTGGGATCCAACCACGAACAAGGATGTGGAAGGAGCCGGGAGCTGGAGCTAGACAGGTTATATACAAAGCTGGACTAGGTCTACTGTGCCGCAGTCGTGTACATACGCTGGGCAGACCTCGGGCCATAACAAGATCAACAGCTCGGAACACATCATGACGCCGTGATGGTCAATTGAGGACAGCGTCCAGATGTCGAGGAATATCTTATCCTCAATGAGGTTTCAAGTAGAGCCTCTTGAAGTATTATAGTTGTTGGTAACGTGTTATTAGGGGTTGGGCGAAAAACTGACCAACCGGTTTTGCGCCCTTGAGAATCAAGTCCAAAACAGCCGAAGATGGCCAAAATCGACTGGGTGCAGGTTTCACAGACTCGTCGCTGTGCCGGGTTAAAGAGACCCAAAGTCAGTCTTTGGGTCTGTTTTTTCTCCTCCAGCCCCACCGATAGCTCAGCTTGAAGAACTGGGGGAAATGTGTCTAAGTAAACTTACTGAAAGGAACTTAGAACATTTACTCAAAGAGTAAAAGAATGTTTGGGCGAAATCCTCGCAAGGATAATAATGAATTACTGCTAGCCAACCAAAACCCCCTCTCCGACCCGCCTATAAACAGGGTATCTAAAGAGTGGTGAAGTAGGAGATAATAACAGGGTTTGTTAGTTGTCTTTTTAAAACATAACACAGATATGCCCAATTTTAAAGAATACAAACTTATAATAAGTTTGGAATGAATAACGAACCAATTGAAAAAAATTTCGTGAGGCAATAATTACCATCAAGAAAGAATCGTCAGGAAATGACCTGGAATGGCACTAATTACCAAATAAAAGGCAATAATTACCAAACGTCAGGCAATCATTACCATGACGTAAAAGCATGAAACTCACCGTTACACAAAGGATACGTTAGCTCCCACATGGGACACATGACCAATTACATGTTTTTGATTTTCAGGTAAACGTAAAGCCACATGTCCGCGTACATAAATTAAAAATGCCTTGGATGACCAACGGCCCGCACTTTTAATATAATCCATAGAAGCACCCGCCTGAGCTAGTGCAGTCGCGCCGCCAGATCGCAAAGAATGACCAGAAAAAGTTTTATCGAAATGAAGATGAAATCTTGATAGAAACCAAGCTTGAGAAGGAGGGGATCCGTTTGAATTAATGAAAAGTTCGGTAGAAGCCATAAATTCTGTATCTCTTGAACACAGATATGACTTGAGAAGACGGACCGGACACGCGGAGGTATTTTCGAAAGATTGAATAATGATTGGGGATCCTACAAAAGTTGAATTGCACTTTGAATACGGTAATTGATATTTAGGGGATACAAAGTGGAATC